CTTTTGCTGAACACATCCTAAATAACAGAGCAACAACTACCACCAAATTCCCTCTTCCATCACTGGCAATTGTTTCATCAGTTACAACCTAAAGAAACTGGCTGCATCAGTATTTTCTGAAGAAACAAAGACCTATGTAAACTTGACCTGGTAAGCAATTGCTTCAGTACTCCAGCATCCTTGAGACTGGATTTTAGAAAAAATCTTGTCTCTCATCTTGCTTGTCTCACTCTCAGAAATAGGAGAGTGTGTTCTAGGATAACCTGGGTGATGCTAATGATGTTCTGATTGCTTCTGTAAACAATGGATGCCTTAAGGCAAAGACTTGCTGTCACAGCTTCGAAGAATATAAAAATCACCAACAGAGACAGAGGATACTAAGGAAAAATTCTTTGTTTCTGTCTTGAGTGACAGAGACAAGAGTAACTGCTCTTGTGAGAAGTGGTCCCTGTCCATATGTTCACTCCTTACAAGAGAGTCAAAAATTACAAGAGCCAGCTTCACAGAAACCAGGATGATGGTGACAATTGTGTATAAGTACAGCATTTTCAAGAAAAATACAAGGAGATTTGTACAAAGAGTATTTCTGGAGTTCATAGAAACTCTGTCGAGCCAATCTGTAAAATGATTTAATGTGCTTTATTTTTTAAAAATATTTTACTACATTTTATTCAATGTGTGCGTGTGTGTATGTATGTGTGAGTGTGTGTGTGTGTGCATGCACACACATTCATAGCATAGTTTGTGTGTGTGAAGATCAGAGGACAACTTATAGGAGCTATTTCTCTTTCTATCATATAAGTTTCAGGATCAAACTCAGGTCATCAGGCTTGATGACAAGTACTCACTGAGCCAGCCACCTTGCTAGCCCTACTTGATGTCTTCTTTTTTTAACACCATCTCAATGTCAATTCAAAGGTAGTGGCAGAAACTCCAAAACTTAAAGAAAGTATTATTCTACTGATAACTATAGTTAACATTGGATTGAGAAACATATGGCTTATGATAGTGTTCATTTTCAACTTGAAGAAATCTACAATCACATAAGAGATGGGTCTCTGAGCATGCCTGTGAGGGTTCTTCTTACCGGGCTAATTGAGGTTGGCAGACTCACCCTGAATGTCAGCGGCACCATCTCACAGGTGGGGCCCTGAACAGAATGAAAATGAGGAAAGGAGTTGAGCAGCATGCATGCACACATTGCTCCCTTCTGACACCAACACAATGCAACTAGATGCTTCAAGCTCCTGCTGCCTCACCTTTCCCACCAAGGTAGAGTGTACACTGAATTGTGAGCTAAAATAAACCCTTCCTCCTTGTTGTTTTCATCAGAGTATTTTGTTGCAGCAGCAGAAAGCGAACAAAGGCATGCTATTGAAAAAAAAATCACTAATAAGAGGACACAAGACTATAGGCACACTGCTCCAGACCAGAGGCAGCTGTCTTCCCATTTTCCCTGGGGATTACCTTAGTGACTGTTCTGTTGCTCTGAAGAGACAGCATGACCAAAGCAACTCATAAGAGAAAGCGTTTAACTGGGGGCTTGTTTACAGCTTCAGTGGGTTAGGCCATTATTATCAGGGTAGGGAGCAGACAGGCATATAACTGGAGTTTAGTGGAGAGCTTTGTATCCTGCTCCACAGGCAGAGAAAGAGAGAGACAGTGGGCATGTCTGGCATGGGCTTTTGAAACCCCAAAGCCCATCATCAGGGTCATATCTCCTCCAGCGAGGCCACACCTCTTATTCCTTCCTAAATAGTACGTCAACTGGGAACAAGTCATTCAAATATACAAGCCTATGGGGGTCACTCTCATTTAAACTGCAGGAATAAACACGAGAGAATGTCAGATAAATGGTAGACAGACAGACAACAGATAAGCAAGCAAACAAATACCTCTTTGTATCTCATGATGTCAGGAATGGTGAGCTGGATGACTTGACCAAGGCTAAAGAACTCCTTGTATCTTAAGGTCAAATCTGAATATCAGACTCCATCACACTCTAAACGACAGCTGTGTGAAGACAGGAGCAGGAGAAGGAAATGAGTGTCTATTTGGACAGTTTGGGTCAACTTGAACTGCTGAGGGAGAAGTATACCAGGCAGTGACTTTACTAATGGTTTTCCATCTTGAGATAGCTGCCGGTTCTCATAAAGTTACAAGAAAAAATAGAAAGAGATACTAATAACACCCAATTTCCTTCAAATACAATATCGTACGGAGCAATATCCAAACCAGGATATGAACACTGCTGATGCAGCCCACTGATGGACTTGTGTGTGGTGCACACATTGAGCCCTATACAGTGTTTGTCTTGTTTATTTCTTGTACCATCAATACAGTGAAGATACCAAATTTCAATTACTTCAAACATAAATCTTTGCAGGTAATCCTATGTGTATAAGAAAGCAAATGGAGTGAACTATGAGGAACAACCTAGTAAGCAGCAACTTTCCAAGATCTCCCTGCTTCAGTTCTTGCCTCCAGATTCCTGCCTTAGTTTCCCTCGATGGTGCACTGTGACATAAAATTATAAACCAAATAAATCCATTCCTCCCCAGGTTTCTTTTAGAAATGGTGTTTATTACAGTAATAAAAAGCAAACCAAGACAAAAATCAATTAAAAGCAAGGACAAGATGGTATTCATAATTTCTAGAAGACAAATTCAGTGGGAACTTCTTAGAAATTTAGACATCAATAAAAGTTTTCATTTCCTTTGAAATGTAAATAAATTGACTTGATTCCTGTCTTTGCTAAGTCTTGGGACTCAGCACTGGCTTCGAGATGTAGGCAAATCCCGGAGTTTGAAGCCATCAGGTACCCTCTCCTAACTTGTCCCGTCCCCTGCAATGATAAATTCCTCTGCCATTCATCTGTCTACTTCTGTAGTTTTGATAAGTCCTCAACCTCACACTTACCCTATGCAACAGAGTCCAGTGTGTTGGACAATAGACATGGCCCGTGTCCAGGAGACAGCACTTCACAGTACTGCTTCTCATACTTTCACTCTTAAATTCTTTCCACCTCCCCTTCTGAAGTGTCCCTTGAGCCTTGCAGGGAGGCTGTTGACAAAGATGTCTCACTTAGGGCTGAGCACTTCATCTCATCTTTTACTCTAAGCACTTTGAGCAACTGTTAATCTCTGCACTGTCTGCTGTCCACTGCAAAAATAAGATTCCCCGACCAAGGTATGGAATTGTCTAAGTCCATTGATACAAACACAAATATTTAGATGACAATTGACATCCTGAGCATTTAGCAAAATAACAACAGCGGGTTCTGTCCTAGAGCCTATGTCCTCCTCAGTTATGGACTTTTAATTGCACTATCTTGGAGTGTTCAAAGTTGTGAATAAAGCAATTTTTTTTCTAGATCAAAGTGGGCTTCTTCAATAAAACACCAAAATATCACATTAAGAAAATGATACCTGTGATCATTTATATTTCCTGTTATTGTAGCTATAGAAGTTGGATTAAAGGAAATGAAACTGAATTTATAGAATGAACATAAGCTTCTAAACTATTTATTTAATTTATTTATTATTTTATTTATTTTAAAAAGTTTTTTTTTCATTTTTCATACCAATCCCAGTTCTCTCTTCTTCCCCTTCTCCTCCTCTCTGCCTCCTCCCATCCCATTCCCCCTCAGAGAGGGTAAGGCCTCCCTTGGGAAGTCAACATAGTCTGGCATACTAAGTTGAGGCAGGACCAAGCCCCTCCCCATTGTGTCAAGGCTGAACAAGGTATCCTACCATAGGGAATGTGTTCCAAAAAGCTATTTCACGCACCTGATCCCACAGCCAGATCTAGCCACATAACTGTCACCCACATTCAGAGAACCTAGTTTGGTCTCATGTGTGTTCCCCAGCTGACATGCCAGAGTCTATGAGCTCCCACCAGCTGGGATCAGCTGTCTGTGGTTTTCTCCATCATAATCTTGAATTCACTTGCTCCTGTGATCCTTCCTCACTCTTGTCAAGTGAAGTCTAGGAGCTCATCCCAGTGCTTGGTTATGGATCACTGCATCTGCTTCCATCAGTTTCTGGATATAGGTTCTATAATGACAATCAGGGTAGTCACTAATCTGATTATAGGAGAAGATAAGTTCAGACACCCTCTCCATTATTGCTAGGAGTCTTAACTGGTGTCATCTTTGTGGATTCCTGAGGATTTCCCTAGCACTAGGTTTCTCCCTAACCCCCAATGGTTCCCTCTACCAAGGTATCTCTTTCATTGCTCTCTCTGTCTGTCCCTCCCTCCACTTGACCACCTCTGTTCCCATGCCCCATCTCTTCCCTTTTACCCCCTCCCAGTTTACCTAGGAGATCTGAACTGTTTTCCATTCCTAGGACCCTCCATGTGTGTCACTCTTAGGGTCCTTCTTTTTACCTTGCTTCTCTGGGTTTTTAGACTGTAGCTTGGTTATCCTTTGCTTTGTGTCTAGTATCTGTGTAAGAGTAAGTATATTTGTCCTTCTGAGTCTGGATTATCTCACTCAGGATGATTCTTTCTAGTTCCATCCATTTGCCTACAAATTTCATGATATCATTTTTTTTAACCTCTGAATAATGCTCCATTGTGTAAATGTACTACATTTTCCTTATACATTCTTTGGTTGAAGGGCATCTAGGTTGTTTTCAGGTTCTGGCTATTATGAATAATGCTGCTATGAACATGGTTGAGCAAGTGATCTTGTGATATGATTGAGCATCTTTTGGGTATATGCCTAATAGTGATATTGCTGCGTCTTGAGGTAGGTTGATTCAAAACTTTTAAATACTAAAAACTGTCCATTTTAAACAGAAATCTAAAGAATGTAGTTGTTAACATACAAGTTTCATATAAGAATCAAACACAACAGTTAATATTATTTGAATTTATAAAATTATGCTACAGTTAAATTTTACATAAAAACAATTTAACTAAGTTATTGATCTTCATTCTTATCATGACCCATTTTTTAGGGATAGCTTCACTGAGGTACTTAATACTTAGTTCAATGTTCTAGCTTTAAATGGGGTTGTAACCATATAGGAGAATAAGAAGAAATGATTTCATTTTATACTTTGAAATGCATTTCTTCTCCCCAGTGTTTCCTATTTCTAATAATGCAATGAAAAACTATCACTTGAAGGAAGATATATTGTTACATTTACTCACAAAAGGACACTAAAGTTCATTAAATTTAAATAAATCCAATGGCCAAAACACTGTGAAAGAAAAAATGAAATAAAGGAAGAAATACTTGAGTGAGACCCCAGGCCACTCAATGAGCTTGTGGAGGTTACATATTTCTCTCTTGAATCTTGCATCCAATTTAAAGTTTTAAAAGGATCCCTTCTTCCTAAAGTTACCATGTTCTTATTTCTCCTTCATGTTGCCTGCCCGAGTTCCACATACAGTCATAAGTGGAGAACAGTAGCCATACATGATGAAAACTACATTTTTGTTTTGGTTTTGGTTTTAGAGTTCTGCAGAAAGTTCACATTAGTGTCTGGTCATTCCCAACTGTTTATTTCACATCATTTTCACTAAGTTCTTTCTGTCTGTATTACTGGGTTAATGGGATTGACTGAGCTATAGTATTTTGATTAATTCAAGTCTTTTTAGAGCAGATAACTTTTGACTCTGTTGATGCCAGACCATATTGAGTTTTGATATCAGAACATAGTGAGCTAATCTACATTGAGAAATGCACATGTAATTACTGGTCATCTGGGAAATACTGAATCTTATGTTGACCAAACATTGGTTTTTCTAGAAGGTTTTAGTTTTGTGTCTACCAGAATTGCATTCCAAAATTTGGTGCAGAGGAAACAATCTGTACTGCGGCTTCCTGCTTTGTGATCATAAAGACATGCATTTGGCAAAGCTCCCAGGCTTTGCTTTGCAGCCTGATTCTGCCATGTTGATGAATACCATTTCACTCTTCCTTTGGCTGCCAGGTAATGATTGACTTTCTTTTTGGACTGAAATGATGACGAAGTTCCAATATTAAGTTCTTTCTATAAAATGAACAATTAATTCTGTGTGTTTGATAAATTTGCACAGATGCAGCAGTTGTCAGGAATTTTGGTTTAACTCTATTTCTATTTTATGCAAACACACAGTATTTCAACATATTCATCAAAATTCCTTTGCATATATATTTTAAATATTCGTGGAATTTTGCCAACAAACACCTTAATTGTGTTAAGTGTATAATCGAATGCTAGATTCTCTTCAAGTTCAAAGTTGGTATCTTAAGTTAGTGAACAATTTACCCTTTCTCATCACAGGAAGTCTTTCCATCTATAGTCTTTTTTTTTTTTTTTTGGTTTTTCGAGACAGGGTTTCTCTGTGTAGCTTTGCGCCTTTCCTGGAACTCACTTGGTAGACCAGGCTGGCCTCGAACTCACAGAGATCCGCCTGGCTCTGCCTCCCGAGTGCTGGGATTAAAGGCGTGCGCCACCACCGCCCGGCTCCATCTATAGTCTTGAAAGTGTCTCTTGAATAGAAGAAACAGACATTTGGAAGTATTTTTCACCAAGTGTAGTCAATGCATGACCTTCTGAAATAAAGAGCTGCATTGAGATCAATGCCAACGTAACACATTTTCCCATTGCCCAAATTATAATGGTTTACAAATTACCTGCCTCTGACTTCCTGCTTTCTATTGTGTTGATAGTTTTAAATGTAGGACTTTAATAAAAAGAATTGCATAAACATGCTTTATTACTTAAGTATTCTTCATGATTTTGTCTTAGAATGTGTATGAAATTAAATATCATTTAAAAATAATAAATTAAGATGTTATCACATATGGAAAAACAAACAAACAAACAAACAAACAAACAAACAAACAAACAAACACACTCAACCAGGTAGTTTTGTGGATTCTCAGGCAGCCATGGAAAATGAGTAAGAGGGAAACAACTGAAAACTTGCTTCTTGCGGTTTCAGAATGATAACTTGGATAGGACACTCAAAGCATCATCGAAAATTATCGTGGCAGGACAGAGAAGTACCCTGCAGATCCCTGTAGAAAAGATGATACATGTGTAGCTTTCTCAGTAAGTAGGGATACTTTTTCAGTAAATGTTCTGGATAACCAAGCCTTGATATATTACCAGAGTTGATTTAAAAATAATGTGTCTGCTTTTTGGTGTTTACCCAATATTGATAACTTAAGCCAATTACTTTTGACTTAATAGCTCAGGATCACTGTGATGATGAATTCTGGGAAATTCAAGGGTGGCCCTCAATAATCCATACGACCTTGTACTGCATTTCAAAATTACATAAAATTTACTCATAGCAAACTTCTTTAATTAATGTATTTCTCTGCAATAATATTATATCAAAGATAAATTCTTAAGACATTTAATACATGAGGTACAGATATAAAACTAATCATTTTTAATGTTTTATAATCCATTACATAAGGTGACGAGGAAGAGATTCTGATATATCCAAATAACTCAAAGAACAGATATATACCTAATCAGCTAGGAATGCTGAAATGCATTTATGCTTGTTTTTAAAATTTATTTATATCCACTACACAATCATGGTTTTACTTAATAAATATATGTTGTATCACCACTACTTTTCTAAAATTTTGAAATACTCAAAGATATTAAAGGATGAGAACACATAAGAGGGTTGACCAGAAGTACACAGAAATCTTATCGCCCACTTGCATCTTTCATGAGTTTTCAAAAAATAAAATAAAGCTGTTCATTAATCTTATTACTGTCATTGTATTAAGAACTTTGCACATATTCACTTCATCTTGTAAGGTTATTTCATTACTATTAACAATAAAAATCACTTCTAATAATATGAGGATGTATTATAACCTCCCCATTTTGTGGAACCTCTTACTCTTAAAGGTAGCTCAAGGTAGAGTTTGACCCTAAGTCACTTGGTTCTATCTTTGGTCTTATGATTTACTGTAATGAGCACACCTGCAAGGCTCAGGAAGTACATTTAGACATAGATAATTCTGTAATTCTGTAAAGCCAACTTTTGTTTTGCTATTTACAGCAAATGAACTGGTTTCCACACAGTCATTGAAAAGCACATGTCTACAACTCTAAACCCACTCATCTTAGTTACACTTGTTCACTTTGACAGGTTTAGAATGATGCTTACTCAGTGATTCTTGCCGTTGCTTCTAAGGCAACAGTTATGACTCTATTTTCACTCTTGCTTTTTAATTTAATTACATCATGCTCTTGAAAAGGATATGATTTGCCGGGCGGTGGTGGCACACGCCTTTAATCCCAGCACTCGGGAGGCAGAGGCAGGCGGATCTCTGTGAGTTCCAGGCCAGCCTGGGCTACCAAGTGAGTTCCAGGAAAAGGCACAAAGCTACACAGAGAAACCCTGTCTCGAAAAACCAAAAAAAAAAAAAAAAAAAAAGAAAAATAAAAAGAAAAGAAAAGGATATGATTTAATTTTTGGATAGGTAATGTCTATGTAAAATATACATTTCATAAAATGCTAGTACTCTAGAGTGGGACAAGCATAGTATCTACACGAGCTGGCAGTGGTTGACACATCTCAAATCATATTTATATGCATGTATGTCAAGAATAACAGAAACTGGAGTGGAATAATACACCAGCCTTCATAGGAACTGAATGTGTTCAGATGAATTTATAAAAACAATATCATTAAGCCATTTACATACCTCAAAGAAAAGCTTTTGAGCTTTTTAGGGGATTGTGTTGATCAATGAAAACAAATTACCATTTTAATACTAATACTAATATAGTATTTACCCTTTTCACTGGGTTGGCTTGTGTAGATGACACAAAATCCATGTAGATAGTTTTTTTTTTTTTTTTAGCAAAAGCAAGATGATACTTGGAAAGTAGGGAAGGCAGAATCTTAATCAAGAGTAGCCTTAAAGAAGCCATGAAACTATATATTTTATTAAATTTCCCTATCTTAAAATCTCTTAAACATTTTTTATGATAAAATGGGATGTGGACCTGAAGCATTTCTACTTCATACAACATGACTGATGACAACGTGGGCACAGTGGCCATGCCATTTTTCATTTGAAGGGTAAGTAACAAACTATGCATATTGTGATGGCAGTAGTTGTTACAATATTTTCTTTGAAAAAACAAAAACAAAACAAAATGAGCTTTCCATTTAAGGAAAACATTTGACTGAGTGTTCCTAATGACAAAATTCAGACTTCCTCATAAAGGATAATTCTGAGCTTCTTTTTTTGATGTGCTTTTGAAATGGTATCATACAATAAAGGATGCTACAATAAATGTGTGAACATTTGGAAGAGGTGGTAGCCAATACTTTAATAATATTTGAATGTTCAATGTAAGACATAAAATCCATCTAAGTACATGATCAGCTAGTAGGTATTTATATGGATTACTAAAATATAATATGAATAAAAATGTAGATTCTACATTAAAATGATTCCTTGGAATATAACAGCTGTTGGGATTTGGTGTAAGGTCAAAAGAAAATATCTATAAATACTTGAAAAGACTTTCAAAACACTTCTTTCCAATAAACAGTCTACAAATTCAAAAGTGGATATCCAAGTCCAGCTGTCTTGTTTTAAGACAGAATTAAAGAAATATAAAATGACATTATTTTTATAACTAAGTTTTTTCCTAAAACTGTAGGGTATTTAAAGTATAAATTGTAGCAGGAATCTTAAAAGTTCTTATTAATAAAATCAAACCTGAGGCCAGTTATTGGGGTGAACACTGGAAGATCAGAGCCAGAACAAGCCACAGCTATCTCACCTCGCCAGATCCTCAGCTGGTCTTGTTTTCTCAGACTGGAAGCCTCTGTGTCCTCATATCCGAATGGTTCTCAGATGAACTGTGCTCCAAAGCCTGAAAGCTTAACCAGCCAAATGCTTAACCAGCCAAATGCTTCTAGTTTCTGGTCCTCACGACTTATATACCTTTCTGCTTTCTACCACCACTCCCTGGGATTAAAGACTTGCTTTCTGGGATTAAAGGCGTCATGAGTCACCATGCCTGTCTGTATCCCTGAACACATGGGTTTCTGCCTCTGGAATGCTAGGATTAAAGGCATGTGCTACCACTGCCTATCCTTTATGTTTAATATTGTGGCTGCTCTGTCTCTGACCCCAGATAAGTTTATTAGCATGCACAATATTTGGGGGAATACAATATCACAATAGATTTTTTTTTATTTTAACCTGTTATGAATTTATTACTAAGTTTAAATGCAGTAATATATATTTTAAATTTTAACTTATGAAAGTATTAATACATATGACCTACATACACAAAGACTCTGGAGAATTCTTATAAAAATGTAAAAGATCAAGAATATACAATTTAATACCCACAGTACCTCATTTTGAGTGATTTGATAATCACTTTGTGAATATCAAGTGATTTGATGTTTATTTACCTCCATGTCCTCTTTGAAATAAAACTTGCTGAGTCCAATTAGTTCTGTCTGGGAGTCCATGGATATAGGGCCAGCCATTGGAACATAGTTTATCTAACAGTGACTACAAATAGGAAAAAAAATAGATTCTCCCTTCCTGGGCACCCATTAACTACCAATAGCTCGCATCTAGAGGTGGAGTCTGGTGAACTCCTTCCCAACCCATGCTAGAATTGTGACTAGCTTGTTTCTGGGCATATCATGCTATGAGTTCATGAATGCAGGGTCTACAGCCATATTCAGAAGACAGGATTTCATATCTGTCTTCCCTATCTTACAGCTTTTAGATTCTTTCTACCTTTTCTCCCATGATGTCCCCTGACCCTTGGGTATTGATAATAGGCATTCCATCCCTGACCCTTGGAGACTGGGGCAGGTGTTGATACAGGCATCCCATTCAGGACTGAGAATTCAACAGCCAGTTGTTCTGAGCTCTTTGATGAGCTATGAATCTCTGCATTAATGCTTGTCCACTACAAAAAGAAGTTTCTCTGATCAGGATTGAGAGCAGTGTTAATCTATGGGCATAAATATAAAGATATTTTGGCAGCATGTCCATTCAGCAAAACAGCAGGAGTAGGTTCTCTACTAGAACCTGTGACTTCCCCATCCATGGTATGTTTCACCAATCTTATCGTATCATATTTGAGCTTCCTCATATGGAACAGGCCTTAAATTCAGTCAGAAAGTGATGGATTTTCCCTATAAGAGTCACATGACTCCATATCAGTGGGCACACATTGTCTGGTAGGTTGGTATTGTAACATGTATGGTCTGATGCTGAGTAGGACCATCGATATCTCTCTGCCCTCAGAACCTTCTGAAAGATAGTGAACAAGGAGGAAGTTTCCAGGTCAATTCAAGATTGATTTTGCTATGTCCTGTAACCAAACTGTGTGGTGTTCTAAGAAATATGGTCCTGCCATTCAGTTATGATGGGCAACCAAAATCATTGGCAAGGGCCTGTGCTGTTTAGAAGGCCTTTGGGAGCCTCCCCAACCAATAAATTGTAGGAAGAAATCCTATGCCTGGCATTGAGGTTTGTTTATTAACCCATATCTTCTGGGAGCAGCTTTGTGAAGGGTATCTGCCAGGAGGGATTCTTTACATAATATGACACTCTGGGTAGAGAGTTTGGTACATAAAAAGAGTGGGAATATTCTCTGAACTAAAAATAAAAGGTCCATTTAATTCTGGGACAACTATGCTTAGTATCTTTGAAATAATTTATAATGGTCCAAGTCAAGGCAAGAATCATTACAGGTAATAATGATGTCATGCCCTCTTTCCACTACATTAGTTATCACTTCACTTCTGGACACAAGGGGCATCAGTGGGGGAGTTTTCAACAGGGGTGTGGTCTCTGGAAACAAAAAACTAGATCAAGAGTTACCATTCTTTGCTGATGTGATGGAATTGTCACTACTGTATTAACAGACTTAAGAGCAGTTGTGCCCATCCATCTTTATTTTATTTAAGTCATTCACATATGCACACACAATAGAAGATTATTATATTTAAAATAATGTATTTAGGATCCCTGTGAAAAGAATAGGTGTGAACTTGGAGACATTGTTAACTAGAGCTGATCTTCATTCTGTATTCCTTGAAGGTGCTAGATTAGGAATGAGGCTAAGGCATTTTTGTTTTCATCCTGATCTCTTTCTCTGTTACTCCCAATGAATGGAGAAGCACTGGGTAAAAATCATGGGAAAACATCTGAACTAGCTATATTCCTGTATCATATTGATGATTCTAAAACATTATGTTTAATATATACACGAAAATGACTTAAGATGTTAAAGGTGATACACTATTGTATATTATTAATTACATATAATAATAAGGATTTTAATCCTTATATTTTAACTAGTTATTAGTGGATATCAAGTATGTTTTATTATGATGCTGTGACTTGTGAAGAGGATATAATTCCCAGTTTGTCCAAGATTTGTTTGGATTGAGTTTGCCAAAGGAAAGAGCAGATAACGATCATGATAAAAAACACAGTGGTGAGAAGTCTAAAGTTGGTCACATTTTCAGCTTTAATTCTAGGGCAGAACATCGTTTGCTTGGCTTGCTTACTGTGAATAACCTAAATACAATTATTCACTCTCAGTGCAGTGGGCAGTCAGCCATGGGCTAACTGCTTGTGTTACTGTTACAGCTATATCACCCCCCACCAAAATCAGACATTAGTAAAAACTGATCTATATTTCTGAGTTCCTGGGGTTTTGTATCAGTAGTTCATATTGTCATTAGGGGAAGCCAGTGCATACTGTTAATCTAATAGCTAAAATCAAACTAATCAGATAGTGCAATGAAAGCAGTCATTTACAGGGAGCATCACAGACGAGCTTTAACTGTTCCTGCTGACAGTTATTACACTTCTTTCCAGATGTTTTTCTCTGCTTTCTTTTTCAGTCAATTAGAAATAGCTACCACCATGTTTACAGAATTCTCATTAGTTCAGTGTGAGCTTTAAAAATTGACACATTGAGCTTCTAGTAGCTCACATGATGAACTCTTACCTCCTGTTTCTCTCCACCAATCATAACTATATGGAACACCGACTTTCCACCAGTTCAGGGTTTTTCTTACTTCTTTTGCATAAAATGATCTGCTTTTATCTGAATATTAAGTAGTTCCAAACTCTTCTAATCAGATTAGGTGATATTTTCATTTGTCACAGCAGGACTAGGTAGGACATGAAGAATGAATGGTACTAAGTACAGAAAATAACTCATCTGTACTGCTTAATTTCGTGCACGTGTGTATGTGTGTGTGTGTGTGTGTGTGTGTGTGTGTGTGTGTGTGAGAGAGAGAGAGAGAGAGAGAGAGAGAGAGAGAGAGAGAGAGAGGCAGAGACAGAGAGAGACAGAAAGAGAGAAGGGGGCAAGGAGAGGGAGAGAGAGAAAGAGACAGAGACAGAGAGAGATGAAGAGACAAACAGAAATAAAGGAGATACACACACAGAGTGTGTGTGTGTGTGTGTGTGTGTGTGTGTGAGAGAGAGAGAGAGAGAGAGAGAGAGAGAGAGAGAGAGAGAGAGAGAGAGAGAATGCACATGCTTGCAAATATATGTCAGTGCAGTAGCAAAGATTAAGATAGATAAATGGATAAAGGGGCCAGGCAACTGGCATAGGGGTGAAACTTGGGTGAACACATCAAAACTTCATCCATGTTAACAGCACAAACTTGCTTAAAGATTTCTTTTGCGAGTCAGTCATAGGTCTGTATTAACTGCCATTCCTGCACCCACCAGAAGGGATTACTAAGACTATTAAACCACAGTGGTATGCCTTTGCATGTCTGCGAGAAGAGCAGACCAAGAAGGGCAAAGGAGAGAAAGCGAGTTCATGATGCTTGCCTTTCAAATATTCTGATGAATGATTGCTTGTGCTCTTTGTGTTTGCCCAGCAATGGATAAATATTGTTTGTGCTAATACAATGTTGTTGATTCCACCGATAATTCCAAGGATGGGCATCAACTGTGAAAGGAAACACACTTGAGAAATATTATGATGATATCAAATGTAATTCATAGCTTAGATCAATACCTGTATCTGTCAAAGGGCAAATAGGCATCTAATGCTGTATGTTTAATATAATAAAAAGGAAATCCATTCAGGCAACATTTAAACAATGAAGGGATTCTTTTATATTATAATAAAGGATATGGGGAGGGAAGCTCCTAGGGTGGGTTAATTGAGTCCTTCAGTGATACTTCTTGAATCTAGTTGGGTGTCCCTACTCTGCCACCTTTAGCAGGCAGACAAGACACCCGCTCTTGTCATGACAACAGTCCAATTTCATTTTCAGGTTGTTAATACCTGGAGGTCAAAATAGTTATGTTCTTTGTGGTGCACTGTTGGTTAACATTTAATTATGGGAACAATGATTCTGGGGCTTCTCAGCTTTTTTCTCATGTTTATTAATCACAAGTGGGTTCTTAATAAAAGAACATATGATAAAGGTCAGGTAATGATCCACTAGGAAATGGCCGTGTCAAACCACCTTCAAGTTCTGGTCCATCCCCTTGTAATTCATCCTTTGCTTCCTAACCATCCTCAGACACACACTGGTCTGGTCTCTGTTACCATGGATTAGACTGTGAAAATTTTTTGTAAAGGTAAGGAAGACTACCCTTGTTCTACATTTAGTATTTTGCCCTGTTATTTTTGAGATGTATATAGTAGTTATTGGTAGCAACTAAATGTGGCCATTTAATTGCTGAGCAGTTTTACACTAAAGGAATACCACATATATCTTATCATTTCACAATTAGATGGGCATTAAAATGATTCTCACACATCAACTAACACCAGCAAAGTTAACGTGGATGTTTATGTGAGCATATATGCTCTCGCTTCTGCTAGGTAAATACCTAAGAGTGAAAATGGTTAGATCACATAATTAATACTAAGAAAAAAACTCTCCCAAGCATTTGTAGTGTCTTCTATTCTCATTACCAGCTGCCAGACATTTTACTTTCAGCCACTACACCAGATATGTATGGATACTAACTTAAGATAATAATTTGTTGCACTGTCATCCCTAATGATACCACTAATGCTTAGTGTGACTTTCCTTGCTTTTCTTGTATGATATGTTGCTTCAACCTTTCTTCCTTAGAAGATCTGCGCTGCAACTATGTTCACTGAAGCATTATTCATAATAGCCAGAATCTGGAAACAACGTAGAAGCCCCTCAACCGAAGAATGGATAAAGAAAATGTGGTACATATACATAATGGAGTACTACTCAGCAGTAAAAAACAATGATATCATGAAATTTGCAGGCAAATAGATGGAACTAGAAAATATCCTGAGTGAAGTAACTCAGACTCTGAAGGACAAACGTGGTATGTACTCACTCATAAGTGGATACTAGATGTAAAGCAAAGGATAACCAGACTACAACCCATAGTTCCAGAGAAGCTAGCTAACAAGGAGGACCCAAAGAGTGATACAGGGATTGTCTTAGGGAGGGGAAATAGATGAGATCTCCATGAGTAAACTGGGGATTAGGGGGGTAATGGAGGGTAGGGGTTAGGGGATGAGAGCATAAGGAAATGGGATGGTGAAGCTGAAACAAGGATGGAGTAGGAGAGCAATGAAAAAGATACCACGATAGAGGGAGACATGGGGATAGGGAGAAACAAGGTACTAGGGAAGTTCCCAGGAATCTGTAAGGATGACTCCAGCTTAGACTACTAGCAATAGCAGAGAGGGTTCCTAAACTGGCTTACCCCAGTAATCAGGTTGGTGAATACCCTGTCATCATAGAACCTTTCTCCAGTAACTGATGGAAACAGATGTAGAGATCCACAGTCAAACACCAGGCCAAGCTCCAGGAGTCCAGTTGAAGAGAGAAGAGGGATTCTATGAGCAAGGGGCATCAAGGTCATGATGGGAAAACCTACAGAGACAATCAAACCAAACTAGTGGGAACTCATGAAATTTAGACCAACACTTCTGGAGCTTACACAGGACTGAACTAGGCCCTCTGTATAAGGGAGGCAGTTGTGTAGCTTGATCTGCTTAAGGGGTCCCTTGGCAGTAGGATCAGGATCCATCCCTGGTTCATGAGCTGACTTTTTAGAGGCAACTGCCTATAGTGGGACACCTTGCACAGCCTTGAGGCAGGGGGAGGGGTTTGGACATGCCTCTACTAAATGTACCAGGCTCTGCTGACTCCCCATGGGAGGCATTACCTTCTTGTAGGAGGGAATGGGGGTTGGGGGGGAAGGCTGGAAGGGTGGGAGGAGGGAAGAGGGGCATCTGTGATTGGTATGTAAAATGAATAAAATGTTTCTTAATTAAAATAAAAAGATCTGAGTTTTTTCTTTTATTACTGAGTTATTTGAAGTTCCTATGTATTCTATATACAAAACCTTAGTCAAACGTGTTTCAGTGGTATTTCTATCTGTCAAGGTTTGCCATTTTGTCTGAAGATTATCTTTTGGGAAACAGAAATTTTCATTTGGATGGAGTACAAGTTATAAACATACTCAGACTTCACAATTATAACATAATATATTTCTATTTTTAAAGCCACCTACTCTGTGGTCCTTTATCATGTTATTTCTACAAAAGGAATCCTACCCCATTATCATTTAGTGATGAGACTATCTTTCACCATTAATTACCCTTGTTCCTCAGAGCAAAATCAACAGACCATATTTGTATGGGATTCTTTCTGACTGTTCTGTCCTCTTCAATGGATGTATCTTGCTCAATTTTTGTAAAAACAATATGCCTTAAAATAAGATTAAAAATTTTAAATTTATATTTTTGAGACTTTCATATATAAATTCTGTATGTAGCTCACTATAGCCCATCTCCATCCAACCCCTCCCCTCCTCCCACTCCATTTCAAATTCACAACCTCTTCTTCTTTAATTATTGCTGTTATACACACACACACACACACACATGCACACACACAGAGCGTACTGATATATATATACGTATATATATGTATATGTATATATAACATTGCTTATATATACATGCTTTAGGACTGAACCTAAAGCATGTATATATGAGTTCAGTGGCTGTTGAGAGGGAAAATATAGAGCTATAATTCCTCTTAACGTCGCTTTGTTGAACTGTATAATTGAATTCCTTCTCAAGGATGTTTTACTAGTCTTTGCATTTCCAAGTGCATTTCAGAAATGCTCGGGGAAATAAAAGCTTCCAAATGTTTTGATTGATCTATAGATGGATGAAATATCTTCAAAGATAGCCAATAGTGAGTCTTTTAAATTAGGAACATGGGCCTTTGATTTCTCTTAGGAGCGTTTTGTCATTTTTAGGACTGGAGGAGATTTGGTTTACATCCTTGTGAGTTTTCCCACTGTATTCCTTGTGTCTTGATGCTATTGAAGTGGTCCTACATTGCATTTTTCCGAAACAGTCATAAAGTTTCCTTCTGTGACTTACATTCTACAACTTGGATAAACTCTCTCTAGACTCTTAAAAGTAGGTTGCATCGGATCATCTTCCTAAGTAATAATTTAATCTATAAATAAATTATGTCTTTTTCCTGATTTCCTGTCAATAAATGGAATGGCTAATCTTGGTTGTCAACGTGACTGAATCTGGAATCCATCTCTGGGTGAGTGTATTAAGGCATCTCCAAACAGAATGAACTGAAGGGGAAGACCCTTCTCCAGAGTGGGCAGCTCAAACACTGAAAGCCCCTGGGAAGGCAGAGTTCCCGCCTTTGCTCCTTGCTGGTGATTGCATCTCTGTCGCTCCCACATCAATCCTTCTTCTACATTAAAATCCAGCATTCCCTTCATGTAGTTTGTAAGTATTATTCACATCATATTTATTATGAAAAGCTCATATTTTAGCATAGAGTTTTAATATACATTTCATATATTTGAAGTGCTCTGCAACCAGGAACATTATCTGATTTTAGGTCTTGTCTGTCACCTCTAAAAATAATTCTTGAATGAACTGGTCCCAGTTCTCATCCCCCATCACTTCCCTATCTATCTATTTGGTCTCTGCCTTTTGGTTTGCTTTTTATGGACAAGGATGCTAAAGATTCAAGGATACATCCAATCCCTAATACTTCACCTTGGCTTGTAATGTAATGGATTGAATGCAATGAGAATCTTAGTGATGAAGAAGGTCCAACATGTTAGACTACATTAAATTAAGAACACACGATACTCCCACATTATATTTTTGGTTGCAAAGATTCCAACTTTGAAAAGATTTTTTTAAGCTTCATATAAATGTGATCGCACATTTTATATTTACCACAAGCAGTGGATTAAATTCTATATGCATCTGGCAACCAATATATTGAATTAAAAACTGAAAAGAATGTTTTGGATTTAAAGTCAGCCTCAAATGAAAAGGGTTTCAGTCCAATGTCTGTATTTTAATATTCTCAGCAGGAAATTTAGACCAGTTCCTATTATTTACTTTCTTCCAGATGCGGTGACACTGTGACACCAAAATTCAAACAAAATTATCAGGAAGGATTCACTGCTTCAGAATGTTGAACACAGGACTAATGTCTCTTAATAATCCACTCAAAACAATTATAGAAATGGACAAACAAGTACAAAAGCAAGTACCAAGTTACAGTAGAAAAGGTTCTGGCACTGTGTATAAGACAATATGTAAATAAAGACACATTTAAGAAAATGTTTAGTTTCATTATCAAAAATGCAGAGAATTGCAAAGAATTATCAAAATATTTTTGTATGTGACTTTCTTTTTAACATGCTGTATATTTTCTCTATTTGTCTTCTACAAAGTTTTATGACAACTTTAGCAGTCATTTCAAATTATTAAACCGATACTTCCTGTTATAAAAACTAAAAAATTCTAGAATTTGAAACAATTCAGAATATGAAAATTTGAAGCATAGATATAAGCTACATCTTGTTAACATTTAAAAATTTTAAAGAGGAAATAGTAATAAGTCAATTGGCAATTCACAGATGCTGGGTGTTGGCCAATAGTTTCTTCAAGGATGTGGCCCCTTAGAGTCTACCTGTGCTTCAGTAGATGGTTCAACACCCATGCCAATATAGGCAGCATTAAGTAGACTCCAATGCCAATACAGGCAGCATTAAGTAGACTCCATGGGTTTAAAAAGAACACATGAAGTTGGAAAGGTTAAGTGTTGGGGTAAGGGGAGGGATCAGAGGGGAGGCAATGGAGGTGGATTTGATCAAAACACATTACATGCATGTATGACGATATCAAACAATAGAATAACTGAACAGGAAGAGTTAAGCGGCTACATTTAAAAACCTCTATTTGAAGGTGGTTCATTGTTTTCATCTGTCATAAAGAGACCCATTGTGGTGTATAAGCAGTGTTGGCTACTACATCATCCTGTCAGCATCATGTCTATGGTGTAAGTTAATGGATAAGACTTTCTAAATGATTTCCCAACGTACATTTTAGTTATCATATTTCATAGTCATATACAGCTCTGAGTTTTGGGAAATTTAATTAAAATTATTGTTTGACAGTTTTGTAAGATTTACATTTATACTAACAACACCGCCCCCCCATCCCCTTCTACCTCTCCCATTGGAACTATCCTTCTCAACACATCTCTCTCCTACATCCTTCTTCATATGTGTGAAGCCCACTAAATCCAATGAGACTTTCTTTCCTGAGAGGTGGGAGCTGATTTAATCTAGAGCACATGCAGGGATGGGGGGTGGTGGTGCTAACTTTTCAAACAACCTATTCTGATGGGAATGAACCAGTTAATCAGGTTAATTAAATGTATATCAGAGGAAGTGTTACCAATGACCTAACTCCCTTCTCGAAGTTCCATCACTCCTTAATACCACTCGGTAGGGGACTACGCAAGCCATATACTAATCATAGCTGGCTGACAAAAGTGATTTATATATTTATTGTAGTGGCCACACAACTGCATATATCTTCAGAACTCTCCAACTTTTACTCTGTAGGGCCTATCCCTATACAGAGTTGACAAAACAAAAGAAGGAAAAAACATTTTTTTTTAGAAAAACAGCCAGTTATCACTACTGACATATTGTTTATTATTTTTTCTAAGGTTTGCTATTCTAATTACTACTAACACTACAGATGGTGGAGTTTCCTCATCCAGAAAAGTGTATTGATCAGTTATGGTGGTGCACTGGGTGAAGTGGAGGGTCAGAAATGTTTGGTAACTTAGGGAACTCAGGGCCAGCCTAGACTACACATATTCTATCTAAATCCCACTGTACCTATCCCTATCAAAGGCACTGGATGG